AGGGAAGGTGTCTTTTGACGCCTGGCCCTCATCCACTGAGTTGAACTCCAACTTTCTGATGTTGTCCTTAGTGCCCCGGATGGTAGGACCCCCTCCCGCGAAGCCGCCTGCTATAGTAAAGATCACCTCTTCATTAGTGTCAGACCTTATAGTAAGGTTGTTAGGCTTCTTGAACAGATTTCCTTTGTTTGTTTTGGGATTACCCTTGGACTTCAGCATATAGGACTTCAAAGCCCCCTCATCAGCAAGACGGTCCAGTAACCGCCTGAGGCTATAACAGCCATTGGTGTCATGGCCAATATCCTCATGGAACTAACAGTACTTGCTCTTGTCCTGGTTTTTTATGAGACTTTTCATAGCAGCCGGTTTTTCAATGGTCAACCGATCTTTTATCTCCATGAGGATGGAGGAGCAGTCCTTGTTGAACTCATACTTAGGGACGTACGGCTTCAACTCTCTTTTTTTTTCTAGGACAGCTGACCAGAATGGTCCGCCACCCAGATTTCTTTTCTTTTCTTGCTTTCTTCTTCTTTAGCCGGCTGAGCAGACCGGCTCTCATTTTTGTCGGACTTTTTAGGATCCGACGGCTGCTTGATGGCACAAAGCTCCGTCGCCTGTATGTAGGCTTCTGCTTCCATTAATGCCTCTTGGAGGGTAGCAACCCTCTTTCTGACCAGGTCGAACTTAATGGTCGACCCGTCCTTCAGACCATTGAAGAAGTCTGTATAGGCAACTTCGTCAGACAGCCCTTGGACCATAATTCTCATCAGATTGAACCGCCTGACATAGGACCTTAGTCCTTCCCTATCTCCCTACTGAATAGCCCCCAAGTCAAGACTTGTCTTTTTGGCAGGGATGTTCATAGAGAAGTTGGACGCGAACAATTATGCAAGCGTCTTGAAGTTGTTGATGCACCCGGCTGGTAGATTGCCAAACCATCGTTGGGCTATGCCCTTCAATGTTGCCGAGAAGCATCGGCACCAGGCGACATCATCCAACCCCTGTAAGTACATAAGGTTGGTGTAAGCCATTAAGTGGTCTTCCGGGTTGGTGGTACCGTCATAGGTACCAACCAACACGTTCTTAACCTTGGCCAGCTGATCCCCCTCGGTTATCTCCCTAGAGAACGCCAACGGCTGTTCCCCAAGGTTTCGCAGTCGGAGCTGCCAGTCCATGGGCTGGACATTTTGTGCCGCCTGACCCCCAAAGAGGGCCGGCTGCATGTTTGGTGATCCATACGACATGTATGGTTGTTGGGGCACATACGGAGCCGGCTGGATAATCTAAGGGCCAGTATGTGCAGACATGCTGCGCGACTGACTCTCTTGGTTTTTTTCCGAATACTTCATTGAAGTATTCCGGAAACTGTCTAGGTAAGTCGACGTTGAGGCCGACTCAGACAATTGTTGACTTCTCTTCTGCTGGATTAACATCCGGGCATCTGAGTTAGTCCTTTTTGACCCATCCGTTGTACTTGTCGGATGGCCTTCCATTGCCCTGATTCAGGCAAACGAAGTTTGAACAGGTCGATCATGGGCCGGTCCACCCCCTTTGGTTTACGGTGTGGCGTAGGCACACGATCTTTCACATGCTTCTTCCTAGAAGGAGAATGCTTCTTGGCCGACTGACCCTTGTTGGTGCCAGTTGACTTATTTATTAGGTCCTTGATTTCCACTTTGAAACTCGTCATGAATGTCATGAGTTCGTCTCTAGTTACGGGGGCTACACCCTCCGCCGCCTGGGGTCGCCCAGCCGGCTTAGCGGTTGGGCTGCTAGGACCAGCTTTGTCTTCGCCCCGTTCCTTTGTTTCCTTGGAACGGGTGCGTCTCATTTTAAATGACCCGTCTGGGGCCACGTAGGTGTCAACCTCAAAGTCGTCACCACTATCTTGGTCCGTGTGGACCTCAGTTTCGGCCATAGGTCGTTTGCCTTCAACAGGCGGTACAGACTTTGATGCCATCTAGGAAGCACTCTCCCCACATACGGCGCCAAATGTTTCGGGGTTTTTGGAGTCCCTCGGGAGAGTTACAATTCCAAGAATGCTCGTCGACCGTCTGTACCTGCAAACCACGAAAACTCCGGTTGGGTGGAGTTCCGCCTCCGACGATCAAGTTAGAATGTTTCTTGATGTATAAAAGTGCGGAACGTAAAGGTTTTTCTCTCAGATTCCGAGAGAATTCTGCAATTGATATTGCTCGGGTTTGGTGTGTATATTTATGAATGTGTAATAAATGAGGATTTTCCTCTATTTATAGTGGAAGGGATCAGTTCCCCTTTTAGGGTTAAAGTGTCACGTGTTAGTAGAGGATTGGATCCCCTAGGACCTCTCTGAGGCTGACACGTGTCGGCATGCTATAGGGCCATGTGGACAGGGTATTTTTACCCTAAACAACAATGACAATTTTAGTTTTGAAAAGCCTTTGAAAAAAAATATCTATTGCACGTCTACAACAGTAACAACCTGAGAGTAAGAGATAACTCAAGTGGTTAGACCTCCCTTCTCGATTCCAGATGATTTTGAGATCAATTCTCACCACTCTTGTGACTTTTTAAATATCAACCACAAAAAAAAAAAAAAAAAAAAAAAAAAAAAAAAAAAAAATCCCCAACAATAGCAAACTAGGGCAACGTTCGGGCTACTAGCTAGTTTAAGATTTAGTAGAAGATTTTTTTTTATTTTTTTTTTATTTTGACAAAAAATAGATGTTGCTTACATGAGGTAACAACGAGCAAAATGGTGTTAAGTCCATTCACGCTCCAAATTTAGAGCTATCCCCCATTGATATCCTATATTAACAAGGCATTTTGGAAAATAAAACCTTGTTTTTTGGAATTTATTCATTTACTACTGCTCATTTGGATTTTGTTGTTTGCCTTTCTTGTGCCAATTCCATTTTAAGACTTTAGTTAATGGATAATTTAACGTCGTCTATTTCTTATTGTCTGCAATTCTGGGTAAGAGGAGAGAGTAACCATAACTTAGAGAGAGAAATCGGAGAGGATTCCACTCGAATTCCAAGTGGCATTGGTTGACCATCAACAAAATTTCAGATTTTCAGCTCGTGAGTTGGATCCTTTCACTAATGACTCCGTGCTCCACTTCAACTTTAAACATCTCCGTCCATCCATATCTTAGTGCTAGTGCTAAATTAAAACATTATAAAATCAGACAACAACAATTTACGAATCCAACAATTAATAAATGAGATAATAAGTAATTACTAGTTCAAACAAATAACTCAATACTAGCAGAATTAAGTACAATGAACACAAGCATAATCTAAATTATATTCATGACAAAATGCATAAATCTGTTATCCTTATTGCAGAACTACAATTTCAGTTCCATACAAATCGCACAAATGCATCACTTCTAAATGCATCCACATATATAATATGATACATTATTCAACCCAATAATCCATTAGATAATAATCCCAACCATATTAGAGCACAATTTTCATTTTCAATAAGTTCAAGTACCTTTAAGAAATCAAACCACCTGTTGTGATGTTGTCTCCAGCATAATCCAGCACCGTTAGTCCATTCCCCTTCGATTTGCCGGCAATGATTTGACCGGTATATATTAGGAATGGATCCTCAGTACAAGCTATACCGGTTAGGTGACGGCAGAATAAGGTTTCTCCCTTTTACCACCACTATAATTGCAATTGCAATCTAGGGTTTGAGATCAAGGTTTGAACTCACGCAGTTACATCTTTCTGTTAACGTCCATATCTTTGAAAACGGGGTACGACTTACAAGAATTGCCAAGAAACATGAGAGAGTACTAATTTGCCCCTCATTTAACACGGGAAAAGACCACACCACCCTTATATTAACAAGTTTTGTTGATATTGGTATCAACTTGTATTTTTTCCCAAATATACCTAATCACCCTTCTCTTTTTGCAAATATTACCAAAATGCCCCTTAATCGATGTTTTTTGTCCATCAACACGATTAACTCATACTCCCTAATGTAAACAAAAGGAAATTTTGTTAATTACTACCTCAAAAATAGAGGCTTTGTAAATTACTACCCTTACAAAAAAAAGTTGTTAATTACTACCCCTAAAACTGATTAATTCAGGTGATTGCTACCTTTTCCCTAATCAAACCCTAATTAGGTAATTTAAGCTCTTAGTGACATCATTGTCTAGCAAAATTGTAATTAATTGTTTTTAAGCCATGATTAATTAAATAGACCCTAACACCACCACTGCACCACCTCCGACAGACCCCTTACCCCATCCCCACCATCTCCGGCAGCCCCTTACCCCATCACCCCCTTGTCGGCGAGCTGATAAGCAGCCTACCCCCACCCCGGCATCCACCCCACCTCTAAACCACCCATTGCACTACCTCTAAACCCCCAACCATCCCTCATACCCTTGAAAAATCCCCCCTCCCCACCCACCGGCGGCCCTAACCCTCTCTCCCTCGCCGAAGAACCCGACTGGCCCTCCCTAACCCTCCTCCACCTCCTTAGTCCGTTAATCACCACCCTTAAAGTCCCAAAATTAAAACCCTAAAATTGAAACCCTAAGGGTGGTGATTAATGGGGAAAGGGGGTGGAGGCAGATTAGGGAAGGTCGAGCAAGGTTTTCCGGCAAGGGGAAGGGAATCAGGGCCGCCGCGGGTGGGGAGGGAGGGTTTAATGAAAGGGAGGTGGTTTAAGGGTGGGCGGATGGTGGTTTTAGGGTGGGGACCGAGAAAGGGGTGTTGTCATGGTGGGGAGTTGGAGGAGGTAGGTTCGGTGGTGGTGCAATGGTGGTGTGGAGGTGGTTCTAGGGTCTAATTAGTTAATTAAGGTTTAAAAGTAACTAATTATAAATTAGCCGTATAATAATATATTTAAGAGATTAATCGCCTGATTAGGAAAAAGGGTAGTAATCACTTGAAATTAATCACTTTTAGAGTAGTAATTAACAACTTTTTTTTAGGGTAGTAATTCACAAACCCTTTGTTTTTGAGGTAATATTAACAAAATTTCCTAAAACCCTTCTATCTCAGCTATCACTTCTCCTAAAACCCTTCATTCTCCAACTCTCTACTCTCTTCTTCGTCCTCCTCTAATGGCGACCAACGCCATTCGTCTCCGCCGAGCACTCTCTCTGTCCTCCACCTTCCTCGCCACTCATCGAAACCTCTCAACCACCTCAAATTCTCTCTCCTCTCTCCTCCTCCAAATCCCCCTTTTCTCCTCTTCTACACCATCTTCTACCTCCCCTTCATTCTTCCGTCGTTTCTTCCACTCTACCCACTTCTATCTCTCTCCCGCGAGATCGTTCAACGATGTCGAAAAGATCGATCCCGATACAATTTTATTCGAGGGTTGTGATTACAAACACTGGCTTATTGTTATGGACTTTGGAAAGGATCCTCAACAACGACCTTCTCCTCAAGAAATGGTTGAAACTTATGTTCAAACTTTGGCTAAAGTTGTAGGAAGGTATTCGTTTTTTGCTTCTCGAATTATTTGTTTGTTTGTTTTTTGAATCTGAATTTATTCATGGTTTAATTGATTGAAAATGAGGGGTTATTGTTTTATTTATTTATTTATTTATTTATTTTATATTATAAGTTCAATGAATTAGGCTTCATTTGGTTGAGGGAAGTATTTTCTCATTTTCATTCAGAGTTTATGCCCTGTTCTGTGTTCTTCCCACCTTACTAAAAAAATAAGTAAAAAGAAAAAAAAAATCAATTTTAATTGAAAAGATTCAGTAACTTCAATTAAAAATCGACAAAAATTAATACGAAGAAGTTGCAATTAGTAAAATTAGTTGTAATTGGTAAATGTCAGTTTAATTTGTAGGTGGGATGTAATTGCTGGGTAGTGGGTGTGAATATGGCAAGGTGGTGGCGGTTGGCTAGGCATGTTGATGGGGCGGTTGTGTTGGCAGCTAGGGTGTACGGAGATGGTCCGGGATGAGGAGGGTAAGTGGTGTGACTATGGCGAAGTGGTGACGATTGACTAGGCAGGTTGATGGTGTGGTCTGGGAGACATATTGCTCAATCTGGAGGTAGGTGGTGCTGGTGTGAGGTTGTATTTGGAGGGAGGTTTGATGGTACTAATTTGTGGCAGTGGTTTATTAGTAGAGGTGTCGTGATTTTGGCGGCTGGGGCTCCATAGGTAGAGTGGTTATGGATTTATGGTTGTAGGGTCTGTTGCAAGGGAGTTTTGGTAGGGGGAGAGGGGGAAGAAGCTGATTATGCATTAATGTCATTAGATTGCTACTAGTAACCCTTGGTATTGGCAAAATGTTATGGTTTATTGATGACATTAACCAAATAGATTTTGAATTCTAGTTATTCTACAAATATTACAGCCACAAATAGGAAATATAGATAAGAAAAAGCACAATAAAGGGGAATCATGGTCTTATCTTGACATGGAAGTACTAATTGTAGCAACTCTCTCCCTCAAAAAAAATAAAATAAAAAAAATAAAATAAAATAAAAAATTGTAGCAACTCTCCCTCTTTGAACTAAGAACTAGTTCGGACTTCCCCGATGGCCAGGTGGATCACTGGTTTTGTTCATTCCTTTATTATGAAAATTGTACTAAACTTTATAGGCCAGGCCTAACATGTGTGTATTCATTACAAAGAATAATTGTATTGCAGCAATGGATACTAGGGGACTAATTTAAGGGAGAGATTCCAGGGAAGTTAGTTTATGTAAGATTTGGGATAAACAAAACAAAAGTGGGGTAAAAAGTTTCTTGTGCTTGGTATGAGGGGAACAATTGCATCTATATTGCAACAAGATTATCTCACAACAAATACATATTAGCTATTTGTTCTTGCAATTCACTCCAGTGTATTGTAATGAATCCCTTAACCCACTTAAGCTGTCCATTTGATCAGAAATTCAGTGACCTCTTTCTCTCTCTCTATAATAAAATACAGTCTCTTCTTCCTAATCTGTTCTTAATAAGCATTTTAGCCTGTTCTATTTCTATCATGCTTGTTTCAATCAAGCACTAGAGTCATATGTGTTGTTCTTGGATTAATATGTAGTTCTTTCTCAACATTATCAGTGTTGAAGAGGCAAAGAAGAGAATGTATGCATGTAGCACCACTACTTACACTGGTTTTCAAGCTGAGATGGATGAAGAGACATCACAGAAATTTGAGGGTAATATTGTGCTTAAATAAATTATTCTAATTGCCAAACTATAATGTTTCCTTAATAGATGAACTTTTCTGCAGGTATGCCTGGAGTTATTTTCGTATTGCCAGATTCATACATAGACCCAGTGAACAAGGAATATGGAGGTAAAAGCAACTTATGCTTCTATATGCAGTCACTTTTAAGCAAATTGAAGCTGGGGATATTTGTTGGTCATTTCTCACATTTATGTTGTCAAGTTTTTCCCACTGTTGTTTCTATAGCTTTAGTTTCAGTGTATCCTGCATGGCTTAATGTTATGCCTACTTACTGATGTTTTGTTTTGAATTTCCCACTACAATGTACAGGAGATAAGTACATTAATGGAACCATCATACCTAGACCACCTCCAGTTCAGTACGGCAGAGTAAAGAGACATAGACCAAATGAACAAAGGCCAATGAATAATCCAATGCCTGGAGAAGGGAGAGGCTATATGCCACAGGGTGGTAATCTAGAGCGCCAAAACACTCCTCGTCAGGGAGGGATGGGCTACCCGCCAAATAGGACAAATTATCCTGAGCAAGGAAGGGATGGTTATCAGGGTGGTGGAAACACTTACATGCCTCCTCATCAGGGAGGCAGAAACACTTATGTGCCTCCTCAGCAGGGTGCTGGAAACACTTATGTGCCTCCTCAGCAGGGTGGTGGAAACAGTTATGTGCCTCCACATCAGGAAAACTACAACCATAGTTATACCCATCAGCATCAGACGCAAAATTTCCCCAGGGACCATGGTACTCCTGTGAGTCCTGTCCCACATGGACAGAGCAGCAATTACCCAGGAGAACATGGTTATAACCATCCCCAAGGACAGATGAGGAACTACCCTAGTAACCATGGCGGCTACACACCCCAAAGACCAATGGAATATTCTAATGATGGTAGGAACTACGCTCCTCCGTCTCCAGCAATAGGAGCTGATGGACAAACTGGGGTTGGATCTTTTGAACAAAGTGAGGCTGGACGATATGGTCAAGGACCCAGTTGTACTTCTTCCCAGGGAGCAAGTATAAATTATGGTCCAGAATATGCACCTCAAGCAGAAAACCAAAGATTTTCGCAGATGCCAGATGAACAGAACTCTAGGAACTATTCACCTGCAATGCAAACTGGAATGAATCAAGTAAGTGATGCTTTCTTCTAGTACGTAATTTTTGTCATACTTGGTTAATAATGCATTTTAGGCTTTTTAGTCTTTCCTGGCAAGACATAGAAATGGAATCGGGACAGCTTTCAGCTGTGATGTTCAGACTCAGCTTTTACTTCAGCTGACCTGTATCAACCTGACCCTAACTGGATGTGAACATGGGATGTGGTTCAGACCTTCCATGAGAAAAATGTATTTATCATGAAATCAAAATGGTCTGAGAATCTTTGTTAAGGTTTCGAAAACCCTAGATCTGAAAACTGGTGCCACCAAATCAAGATAAATAAAATATACTAAGAGAATGTAGGCTTGAGTTTGAACATAGGTGTCCTAACTCTTCTAAGAGAGGACACATTTATGGAGCTTTTGGTGATCAATCCAGGATGAGCTTTAAGACAAGTATCCCTCATGTGGCCTGGCCTGATCTGTGCTTTTCAAGCATAGCAACATAGCATCCTAGCCCCAAAAGTGTTGTGCGGGCTAAACCATCTGACTCAGCATCCAGTTATCTGTAATTTGCACTTTGACCTTTTTTTATTTTTTATTGCTTAAATCGAATGGTGTCATAAATATTAAGCCATCGTATATGAAGTATATAGGGAACCACAAAGCAAGAGATGCATGTGAGATTCGATCTTAGAGATCCCAAGATTTTAACCTACTAAACTTTTTGTCATCCACAATAATAAGCCACCCTTTGGTTTGGCATGAATGAGAAGTAATGAAGTTTGGGACATTTGTTCAGTTATTTATAGAGGCTCTATCTCAACTCAGTTGATGAAAGTTGCAAAGAGAAGCTTACTTTATTAGGGCATTGTACTAACCCATGATTTTTGTTTTGGCTTGTTGGCCCTACATTTTGGGCAGGGCTAGCAAATGGATCAGGTCGGGTCGGGTTCGTGTGCAGATCAACTGATTTCGGGTCAGCTACCCCCTAACCCGAACCTGATCCATTTAACTTTTCGGGTTGAAAATCCCAAACTGAACTTGATATTGACCTTATATGACCTTTTTTTTTTTTTTTTGTTTTTTTTGGGTTTATATCTGGTTGCTTTAACCTGAAATTGACCAGATTTTTTCTTCAAATATTAATCTGATATTTTGTCAAAAAAAAATAAAAAAAAATTAATAATAATCTTATGTTAGATTCAGTTCTTCAATTAGGTAAACCGTATAAATCAGGTGAACAGTATAGATTATATGAATAAGACTATACAAATTATGTAAACCGTATAAATTATATCAACAAAACAACAACAATAGAAATTAATAACAGAATTATAAGTGCATTAAACTTGTACTTTAACATGAACAACAACAAAAATCTAAAAGTAAAACAATACATACAATAACGTATAATAAAATTCAAAATTAGTAAAAACAACAAGCAGTATCCAATGAAGGGGAGGAGCACTTGAAGTTTGAGCACTTGCAACTTGAAGCTTGATGTCCGCTAAGGAGGAGCACTTGCAACTTGCAAAGGATTTTAGGAATTGATTTTTTGAGTTGAAGAGAGAGAAAATTGTTGTTTATTTACCTTAGGAGATTGAACTTTGAAGCCCTTGAAGAACAGTGAGAGCAGATGAGAGAGAGGTATGGAGCAGCGGCTAGTCGGCTACATCTAATACAAGTGATCCTTAGGGTTTTACTTTTTACAAGGAACATGATTTTGGGCATGGGTTGGTTACTTTAGAGTTTTTTTAAAATGTTATTATTTTTCCTGATTTGTTTTCGGGTTATTCAGGTCAGGTTCGGGTTAACCCGACCTGATTTCGACCCAATAGGTTTTTCGGGTTATATGGGTCATTTTTGGGTTAGAATTTTCAACCTTAACCTAACCCATTTTAATTTCAGGTTGGGTTCGTGTCGACCCATTTAAGTTTTCAGGTCGAAAATCTCAACCCTAGCCCGCTATTTTAAGGTCGGGTTCGTGTCAGGTTATCGGGTCGCGTCAGCTTTTGCCAGCCCTAATTTTGGGTCATGTTCAAACTTCGAAAATTTTTGTCAGGTTCCAGTTTTTAGTAGAGGACATGTACCTATGTACTCTCCTCTATCCTTGATTATTCGATATGCAAAACAGAATCTGTTTACATAGCTCTTAAAAATTATGTGAAGTATTTCTCAAAGTAGAAATACTAAACATTTATTTACTGTATACATCACATAATTATAGATTTCCCTCGTAATTCTGTTTTGTGAAATTTCGTAAATGCTAATCAATATCCTAAAATCTATGTTCAAAGAAACCCTTCAAAGAATACAGTAGCACTTTTGTATAGCTATTTTTTTTAAAAAAAAAAATTAAATATCCAGGATAGATAACTGTCATCTTAGGTTTGTGCCTTTCATTATCTGGCAATAGAGGAATAATGTGACTGACTGCTACTCTTTAGTTCCCATTTTTAAATTTTGGCTTTCATATCTGTTTGTTAGTACTCTATTCCTCTGGAATCACATTGATCCTAATCTTATAATATGATTATAGTTCAATTTACCAAAATACCTTTGGCGATGGATGTTGAATCTTTTCTATCCTATGCTCACAACTTACTGACTTAGTTATAGTTAAAAACTTTTATCATAATTTGATTTTTGCTTAGGACAGGTGAACTTTTTGCAAGTTTTCAATAGGATTATGTTATTATTATTTGAGGCCGGAAAGAGAATTCATTTTCTCCCATTTTTTTACAGAGAAAATTTTGAACGCATATTCAACACCATAGCAGCCTATGAAGCTTTTTAAAGTTGAGAAACTGCGTCAGTGTCCACAGGCTTGGAGGAGGAATGTGCGGATAGGATTTGATGAACAGGATTTCAGTTGTGTCAGTAATGAATTAAAAAGAACTCACTTTATGGCTTCCTTGAGCTATTATGCAAGCTTGAAGTTATGTACAAGGTTTTAAGAATTATTCACCTTTGAAGTTATATATAAGTTTATAAATATTATGACTTGCATCTATAATAATTCTGTGTCAACAAATCTCTTTGTTTCACTTATTAGTATAGAGGCTGTTGTTAACCTCAATCTGGAGATCATGTATAAATGCATTATAGTAGGTCTCCGAGTTGATGTACATCAATGTGCCGATGTCTTCTGGTTTTTTTTTTCCTTATAGCATGCAAGTGAGAGTAGTGTTACTGTGTTGGTATGATAAATCAATCAACAGGGTTGAGCAAATTTGTCCTCTCATAGGGGCGTTTGTTGTGATATTCGGGTAACTGTTGGGAAGTTTATGATAATAGCATTTTTGTCGAGAGGACCCTGTCAAGTTCTTAATAGCAACCTATTAACCTAATTTGATTAATAATGAGCTATTGATCAACTTGATATTTAAATAAAGAGTTGTACTTAATATTTCCCCTATTCCCTAACTATGAAAATTCTTTTACTCCATTCCTAGCCGGTGAAGGCTACACATACGAGTGTTTGGTTTGTGCACCTGGGTGCATCATGCGCATAGTGAACCCGGTAAAACTAAAAAAAGCGTAAAGAACATATGAGTGTTTGAAAAAAAAACATACCAGTGTTTGAAAAAGAACATATCTGTGTTTAACAAAAGAACATGTTTGTGTTTGACAAAGAACATGGAATAACAAAGAACATAAAGTCTTTACAAAAAATACATGATAATACATTAAAGAACATGTTCTTTTTCATGGCTACTTAGGTGGTTGAATGTGTTCGAAAAAGAACATACATGTGTTTGACAAAAGAATATGTTTATGTTTGACAAATAACATGTCATTACAAAGAACATAAAGTCTTTAAAGAAATAACATGATAATACATTAAAGAACATGTTCTTTTTCATGGTTACTCGGGTGGTTAAATTTACCATTTTTTTATGTACATAAATTAAAGAACATATTGTATAATATAAAAAAACATAATGATCAAACTTGAAGAACATATAATGCTCGCGTTCTTTATAAATGTCAATAATATTCTTTTTTTTTCGCCCGTGTTCTTTAAAATATGCTGAATGTTCTTTCCAAGTGCACCATACGCATGGTGCACCGGATGTACCATAAAAATGTCACACATACAAGCCTGGTTTGTGAGCCTAATATACGATTTGACATGGCAATATTTTATTGGGCAAAAAATTAGACTCAATTCCACTTAAATTCAAATTTCATTTAAAATTCAAATGATATTTTAAACCTCTAATATTTAAAATTCAAATTCCTTTGTCATTTTCCATGCCCAATTAATATATTACAATTTATTAAAAAAAATTGTTCTCTTTATATTTTTTCTTTTTTTCTTTTTTTTATTTTATTTATTTTTTTTTATTTTATTTATTTTTTCTTTCAGCATTCTCCATTGAAGATTGAAGATGAACTTTGGCTTTTTTTTTTTTTAACAAAATTGGCTTTAAATAACCCCAACTATTACCGGTGTGTGCAAAATAATACGACCTTAACTATTTGCTATCAACAGTACCACCTTTTGTACTATATATGCAAGCCGGCCACTGAAGAAGGTTTCTCGAGGAATTTTCTGTCCATATTCATTATTATATTAATTTTATTATTATTTATTATATCAAAATATTACTTTTTTAAAAAAAAAATACATGCTCCCTCTGTCCCTATTTTTGTTTGTCCCATTTGACTTTTCACGATATCCAAGACACGTGTCAAAACTATATCTTCATTTCCATACACATAAAAATTATAAAGGAAAAATTGTTAAAAATAATCCCAACTTTTGTTCGTTCGCTCAAAATAATCCCAACTTTGGATTACTTTTAAATAATCCGAAATTTAGGGGTCATTCGCTCAAAATGATCCCAGCCGGTCACTTAACTTCCTATAACAGGTTAAGAAGGTGACACGTGTCGATATTTAATTGGCTGAAAAAAAATAAAAAAAAACTTTTAAAAAAATAAAAAATAAAATCCCAGTTACCGGAACCTCCCATCCACGACCACCCTCTCCACCACCATGACCCCTTCCCGAAACCCCATCCCTATCGGCGCCTAGACGTTCCTCCCCCACACAAGCGCCGACGACGCCCCTCCCTTGAAACCACTCAAAACACCCATATCGCAACCCGAAACCCTTAAATAAGCCTAACCCCACCGCAAAACCCTCCAAACGGCCCTCCCCCACCCTCGAAACCCTAGCTTTTTAGGGGTTTCGGGTTTACATAAGGTGGTTTTGGGGTGGGCTTTTGGAGGTTTAGGCAGTATGGGAGGGGAAGCATCGGGCTGCCAAAGCTAGCGTCGGCGCGGGGGAGGGGATGACTGGGCGGGGCGATGGTTAGGGAAAGGGAGTACCTTGGCGGTGGGAGAAGGGTGACTGTCGGAAAGTTGTGGTGGTTTTTCTTTTAAGTTTATTATTTTATTTATTTAATTTTTTTTCAACTAATAAGGAAAAAAAAAATTACCTCTTTAATTAGGGTTCCGGTCACCTGGGACCGTTAAAACAAATGACCCTTGAAGTTCAGATTATTTAAAACTAATTCAAAATTGGGATTATTTTGTGCGAATGAGCAAGTTGGGATTATTTTTTTTAACAATATTTCCTATTTAAAAACATGATATTAATAAAATATACAATAAGACGAATCTGTCAAAATCTCACATAACTATATTATCTCTTATAGATTAATGGTAATTATTGGTCAAAGTTTATAAAGTTTGAATAAAAAATGACAATGAGGCAATAATAAAAGGACGGAGGGAGTATTATGTTAATAAGTCCTTACTACACGCACATGCATGCGTGGTGCTGCTGCCTAGCAACCCAGCATCCCCATTGCACGCACACACGCACCAGCCCACACGCATCATTGATGCTGCTGTGCGAGGCTGTGAGGCGAGGCTGCGAGGCACACACGCACACACACGCAAGCCCCTGGCATTGCGATGGTGCTGTGCGTGGTGCCATGCCTTGCGATGGTGCCTGGCCCTGGGCTGCGTGCTGCGACAACCTGCCACATACACCCAGGCACCCAGGCTAGCACGCTGCTAGCTGCGATGGGCTGCCTGATGGTTGTGGCACTTGTGATGGCTTGCCATGCGCACCCAGGCACCCAGGCTAGCACGCTGCTAGCTGCGATGGGCTGCCTGGGGCTTGTGGTGCTCTGCGATAGGCTGTCATGCGCATTCCCAGGCTGCAATGGTGCACCTAGGCTGCGATGGTGCGCCTTGAGCTTGCGATGGTGCGCCTAGCCATGCTAGGTGCATGCTAGCTTGAACTAGCCTAGCATCCACATGGCTAGGCCAGTGTGGTGCTAGGGCTATGTTCGTACTTGTCGCTTTGTGATTTTGCGACGCTCGGTCTCGACGCCCTAGGCTCGATTTCCGACGTCTGTATTCGTAAAACTCTGTTGACTCATTAAATCCTTTCGGATTAATTTGTCGTCTCGGATCGGTGATTCGATTGGGTTCGACCTGAAGGGTTCAGTTAAGATTAAGCTGTAACATCAATTGCACATTGATATTACTGATCGGAAGCGGCCTCCACCTATGCATTCCGATCACTTGACCTTACTGAAGAATTAGCTCCGTAATAATTCTGAACCCTCTATCAGAAGAATACACTTGTTGGAAGGACACCATTCCTTTCAATCTCCCACTTGTCCTTCCGGACAAGTGTGCATACAGTGTATAGCTCATTTCCTATGTCACTTAATGTTTCTTCGTGAACTATAAGGTAAGATTCTTTGTCATCCTTATTACGTTCAGAAGTGTTTCTCGATCTCCGAGTTTGACTGTCAATAAGCAGATGATTTCTAAAATCCATCTGAGCATGGCCATGCATTTTCATAGTCTCGCTCTTCGAGCGGCCTTTAAACAACAAAACATTTTCCCTATTGTTAGTAGGGGGACAATCCCAGTCTTGTATTGTAAGTTCTTCTTACTAAGAGGACATAGTCTCCTAAGTGTTCCCGTTATGATCCCCAGTTACGGCAGACGTTTGGAAACAACAAAGAGTCTAGTACTCAAACAAGAAAACTTCACAGTACTCATGGTCGGAGGAAACAAGTTCCGATAGTCATAATGAGAAATGTACTTATGACAAAATTTAAATTTTCTTAAAGTACTCTCATAGGTCTTATCCAGTACAGTTCCAAACTGTACCTGTGCAAATGATTTATGACCGTCACGTCCTCGCAGCACAAGAAACGGTGCTGTAAATCATACTACACACTAATCTATGGCAGTCATCAATCGTCCATCTGTTAGATGACCTCGATTAGGGACAATTTTCGATTTAATATTCAATGTTCACTTAACAGGTGTTTCTTTATCCAAGACATGGTCTTGATACCCTGTTTTGAATATTTCCGTAAATCGAATGGACTCATTATTTAATTCTAAACCACAATTAAATAGTAATGGAGTGAATGATAATTTTGCACAAAAATTAAATACTCCATTAATGAATGGTTTTAATACAGTGTCTTACATTAAATCAACCCGTTTAATTAAAACACATGTACAGGGAATTTTCAAAGCCAGTCTCCTACGTGCTTGATTCCCATTGCCTCAACGTGTTTGTTGTGCTTCACTTGAGGCAAAGGTTTAGTCAAAGGATCGGCTACATTATCATCTGTGCCGATCTTACAAATTCTGATTTCACCTTCGGATTTCTATTCCCTTATCATGTGAAATCGCCTTTGCACGTGTTTGACCTTCTGGTGTTCTCTCGGCTCCCTGGCCTGAGCGATAGCTCCATTATTATCACAATAGAGGTCTATCGACCCCTTGATTGAGGGTACAACACCAAGTTCACTGATGAACTTGCGGATCCAAACAGCTTCCTTGGCTGCTTCTGAAGCGGCCAAGTACTCGGCTTCAGTTGTAGAGTCTGCAGTGGTGCTTTGCTTGGCACTCTTCCAGCTGAACGCTCCTCCATTCAGACAGAATACATATCCTGACTGTGACTTGAAGTCGTCTCTGTCAGTCTGGAAGCTAGCGTCGGTGTAACCTTCAACAACCAGTTCTTTGTGGCCTCCATACACCAGGAATATATCCTT